AGATCTCGATGGGTTGTGCAAGACATGTTTACGGCGACGATAAAGACGTTATATATGCATCCCAACTATGCTTTCCCTCTTGTGTATCTCAGACATTTATCTAGACCCCGCAGTTCTTCGACTACGTCTCCCGCGATTATGAGACATCCGTTGCGCTTGGATATACGGTTCATTCGGAGGCCTCCGACACACGAAACTATGTGTGCAGCCATTTTGGAATGATTACAGATTTATCAACCACAGGACTCGTTGTCGACTACGGCAAATCGGTAGGGGAGGTCTTTACTGACTTTGCTGAGGCCATCGTTCTGCACGGCGATCCTGCAGCATTGGGCAAGTTCTGGTGCGGCTCCCATAATTACCCCTATCGCATCTTGGGTGCCCGACTAGTCATATACAAACCTTGGACTAGGGCTAGGATCGGATTTCCCTCTCGGAAAACCAAAAGCCATCCATCTTGATCATGGTCGCCGAGCCTTGGAAATGACGGGGCGTCAAACAGATAAGATCAAAACGGTTCTCTTCACCATGATATAGGAACCGTTATATAAGGTTTGAGACCTTCCTTCATGGTAGTCCCGGGAACCGTCGCAACTTCAGCCATGCAACAGTTCTTGAACGCCCTGAAAAAATCGTTGACATCTACATCATCGGCTTTCTACACATGGGACACCATTCACGGCTTCAGAAACAAAAGATGAAATCGTTTTTAGAATATCGGTTCAGTTTTCGACATTTGACCCCTGGACGGCACCGTTACGGTCTGCCAAGGAGATGCCGGACGTTCTGGATTCGTTCATGTTCCTACGTTCCTCGGACTACTCTTCTTTTGACGACGGGCGCAGCAGAGAATATTTGCTGGACCTTTCAAGATCAAAGGTTTGTCAGATTTTCATGACCGAAAAGGGTTCAATTGGCTACAGTCAGTTCCAGGTTCAACCTGGGGACGATGTTTCACTTTCTCTGACGGCGAAAAGCAGGGCCACTCGGCCTTGCGCTCTGCTGACGCTGGTCGTTTCTGGTTGATCAGCCCAGTGTACTTGTTGAAGTCTGAGATGCCGTCTGAGAACGGGACTGAAGAGAAGATTTGCATCGTATGATACCAGACAGAATCTGCAATGTCATAAAAAAAAGGGGGTGACATACTAAACGTACTCATGTCTTATCAAACTGTACCATCTTGCGGCTGTTTTGCACCTGCCCAGGCACAGATGACTTTCAATATGGAAAAGACCAACAATTCCATGGTACTGGCGCACCAGGCACCTGAGGCCAACACTAGTACTATGCAGTTGAAGTTACCTATTCAGATGCAAAGCTCTAGTACCGCTGTTAAGTTGCTAACACCATGACAACTGCAAAGAAAATGATGCCATTCACACGAGGCCAGCTACATGAGTACAACGCTTCACAACAGACAACTCCCAACACCAGACAACTCTTGACATGACACCACATAGTATTCAAGACTAAAAAATGACTTCAACCAGTCCACAGACACTATATAATGCCAACCATGGTGCGAATAGCGCTGCAAACACTGCTCGGTACAATGCAGGGCCTCGTCATACCGGGCGAAAGTGCACCTTAGGCCAGTACTCAAAAACACCATGCAATGCCATTCTAGGCAGTTCCAAGGCATCATCGCACTTTGGCGGCTTGACTGCCAGAATGATCAATGGATGGGCTGTGTTAAGGGTGTGTTAACGCCCGACATCAGAGGCATCTTCGTACAAATAATGGTTGTAGCTTGCAGCCCCTTCATCTTGCAAAGTAATCTTTACCCTCTCCTAGAATACCTGCCATGATTGACACGACGGTACGCCTAACGAAGGTTCCATTGCGTACAGTGTTCCGGTGGAATGAAATGCGTGATTTACCGTACACAAAGTGGACATGTATTGCCAGCAAAATTGTGAAAAAGAAATATGGGTACATTCAGCAGGTCCCATAAACAAAACCGATAGCCCCGCGTCTGTCCTTAGCCTTGCGCTCGGATGACTTCTGTAGAATCATGAGAAACAATATCCGCATTCGCCGGGAACTTCTCAAGCATCCTGCAATAAAACCCAATCTTCCCCGGGTCGACAAACAACTTCAATGCCCCAGCCAAGTTCTGCATATTCCGATCCTCCAACGTCGCCGACAGCCTGTGATCTAACCCCAGCTCTCCCTCTGCCTCTCTCGCTAGCAGCACATAATCGTCTCTATCCGCCTAGTCCTGTCTCACAGAAGGATCAATTGGTACCCCCGCCTCGTCGTAATTCCACGGTGCGTCCATCGGCGGGGGCGTGGGCGTAGTGCTCAAGAATAGCGGGAACTCCACAACCTCCTAGGGCACTGTCGATGCGTTTTCCCAGTCGATGACCCTCAGAATCTTACAATCCGTGTGGATGATGATGTTTCTGTGGGGAAAATCGGTATGGTACAGCGGGAACGGGCCCTCGTTGAAGGAGACGTGGCTCGCCACTTCGGCCAGGCGGGAGGGAAAGTCTTGGATGGAGGAACGGAGTTCTGTCTCGAGACCTTTTGGGAGATGGGCTTTTAATTGCTCTTCTAGCATGGGAACTTGGCGTGCGCTGCCCAAGCTTGGAAATTTTCAGCCGCTGTTGAAAAGTGTCCACCGAGGCTAGGGATGGGTCCGACGGTGTACGAGCCGTCGTCTTTGCCGGCTTATGCTTCCGATCTTGGGGAATCGGAGGGATGCCATTTCTGCCTGTGCCATTGACTCTCATTCGGGCGTGTTTTGACATAATATTCCCAAGTTCTCCACTTGTGCACACTTCTCATGAGAGAGATGATGACGCACCTGTATCTTGGCGACTTGTTGACAGAAGAAGTCTTTATGTTGCCTCGGAATCTCCCCGCGGTGAACGTCCCATCCCCCAAAGGCATCCATTGCGGTACTTCCCGGCACAAACTCCATCAAAAAGTAAGGCAGGCTGACTCGATTGGAAGGTTCAGTTTCGTAGCCAAAGACTCGGGGGACCGGGATGTGCGTCCTTTCGCGAATGAGAAAGAGCGTATCGACTTCGTGGACAAGCCGTTCACTGGACTCCTGGGTACCGCCGTGCAATTGAATACGGGCCACCCATCGCTCGCCGTCATCAAACTCGAGGAGTCGGAAGAAGTGCAGTCCGCCAACATTGTGGTGAGGAAGGAAGGCACATGTCGAAAACGGTGGTGGGGTGGAGGACTCCTTCCACTGGGCTCGTTGTGACTCTAGGGCGCGGTTTTTGAGAGCACTCCAATTTATTGGGAGAGAAGTGACTCGGGATATGTCAGCTGTCTTCCAATTGAGGACGGAGATAGGGTCTGCTGGTTGGTCGTGGAGGGTCGACATTGATGCCGTTTTGGCTTTGCTGTTTGCAGGGGAAGAAAGAAGGGACGACCCTCGACAAGCATAAGACTACAGACACCGCAAGCTGACCCTAAATGGGCTCGGTTGGGTCGGGTAAACATCGGCGCCGCCATCACCCATCGTTTGAGCCCTTGCCTCAGTAGCAGTATGAAGGGAAATCACGATGGTCCTGGCACTGTGAAAACGCACTCACCCAATGCCAGCCACCAATGACCCCCCAGAAACAGCCCAGCAGCATGAGCCAGTAACAACTAACGTGCCTGTCGGTCATGTAGCATCAGGAGTCCTCGTGGTCCATCCTCCATGTACGATTAGATGTCCATCAATGGCTTCATTGGAGGTATGTAAGGACTCGTCTCCCCTTCCTCGACTCATTCGTCCATTTCTCGAAACATACAAGGGTTTCCTTCAAGTCCCGGCCAATTTCATTCTACTAGCACAGAGAGATCACCATTCACGCAACACTTGTGAACTTGTCCCCTCACCCCAACAAACACCAACATGTAAAAGAGCCTCTACGCGAACTGCAAGGTCTTTGGGTGCAAAGGAAGCGGCATTCGCAGAGGAGAGGCGTGCTCTATTTGCGGATGGGAACATCCGGAGGACGATGATTAACGGTGGTTTGGATCCATCCATGTCGCTGGTGAGGTACGATACATCAAAGTAATATATCCCTGGCTGACTCTAGGCTCCAAAGGAACCAAAACAGTTGAGCGAGCGAAAGACGGCGTGATGGGAGATAGAAGTTTTTGTGAGGTCATTGGTATGGTGACACGGACGGGAAGAAGGCCCCCGGGTGATGTGGGGGGCGTGTTGGTCGGTCAAACTTGACAGCTGATGAAACTGGAAGCAAAGTGAGACGCCACAAGGGCGGGGCCAACAGACATAACAAGGCAGCGAAGGAAATCCCGGGATAAACACTCCAGGGAGGGAGGGTTAGTGCCTTGAGATATTAAATCTTCCTGCAGTCTTTGTTTTCCTTTCGTAGTATCATACCTAGCACTAACTGGCAGGTGGTGTTGGGCGCGTGCTATCCTCCAACTGTCGTTATATCAAGAATATTATGTGAAGGGTTCGAGTCTCGCGGGTCGGTCATGTACAATTATTTACCTAAATTACTCCTGAGGCCGTGCCCCTACATTGCATTTTCGATTGGTATGGGGTAAACATTATTGAGCTTCTAACGACACCGTGTCCATTTGCTGGTTGTTCTGTGGCCCAATGACATTACACTGTGGTTATGTGAGCACTATGTCCATAGACAACAAGCTATCGATTGGGGGCATCTGCCGCATAGGTACATACCGAAATGAACTACTTGGATGTCAGTAGAGCCCCGAGTTGGGTACTTGCGTGGCATAAAGCCTCACTATATGAACTTTGACTCAAATTTTACAAAGAAATCTTCGACGTTAACAACAATACATTCCCCCTCCACCCCAAAATTTTTTTTTTAAAAAAAAACAACAGCAACAGGGGCCTGAGGGCGATAAACCAGCATTGATATGACGGACAATAGGTTAAAGAAGTCTTAAAAGAATCAAAGCAGCTAAACGAATAGAAAGAAGAATTTCCGAAAACAAAATTCCAACAATATGTGTCCACAAAAGTACACATCCAAAAAGTGAGTTTCCATGGATGGGATAACCAGGAATCGAACCTGGGTCCTCTCGGAATCAATGTTCCACAACGAGAAGTACTGACCACTATACTATTATCCCTGGCTTGGTTGTTGGTCCACATGCTGGACGCCATGCATAAAAAAGTCGGAAGCTACTGAGACCACGGTGGATCTGAGACACAAGAGGATCCATCGGAACCGGGAATAGAGCAAGTTCAGTTGTTTGCTATAACTAAGAGGACATCCATCATAATAGTGACAAGTGCCTTTCTAAACAAACTTCGCAACAACTTATCCAAGAGAGCGTGCACCAGGAAGCCAGTGATCTAAACTCAAAGAAATTTCAGACTCCTCCGTCAAGCGACTGTGAGATATAGCCAATCTAATGCTCAACCACGTCAACGTCGTCGTCGCCATTCATCTCCGCCTCAAACGTCATCTGAATGTCCATCACCTGCTTCAGCTGGTCGTGGTCAAGTCTCCGACGCTTGTAGTTGGCCAGACTCTTGGCCGTGCGCACAATGTTCTTGATCTGGCGTCCATTCAGGCGCCCCTCGGCCAGGCTGCGATAGCCCGCCTCGTCGATATCGACGCCGCCATCCTCGCCTTCGAGCTTGCCCAAAAAGTTCTTCCACACTTTGAGGCGGCTCTCCGTCGGCAGGTCCTCGTACTTGAGCGGCACGTGAATGCGCGACTTGAAGGCGTCATCAAACGTGCGCACGCGGTTCGTGGTCATGAACAGAATGCCCGAGTAGTACTCCAGCGTGCGCAAAAAGATGGACACCAGCGCGTTGCGATCCATGTCATGCAGCGAGCGGCGCTCCAGGAACACGTCGGCCTCGTCAATCAGCAAGACGGCATTCCAGGTGGACGCAAGGTCAAGGGTGCGAGTAAGCTTCTCGTCGAGGGTGTGTGCCGTCATACCGAGATCGCCTGACGAGACAGTATACAGTGGGCGCTTGCTGAACTCGGCCACACACTCGGCGGTAAGCGTCTTGCCCACGCCGGGCGGGCCGTGGAGCACAAGCACGAGACCCAGCCCCTTGCCCTTGACAATGTCCTCGAGACCCTTGCCGGCGTTTGTGGTGGTTGTGCGCTGAGTGTGCTCGGCCACGAGGGCCTGGACAAGCTCCTTCTGCTGGTTGGGTAGCACGAGCTGCTCGAAGGACTCCGAGTTCCACTCGACATCACGCAGCTGGTCAACACTGAACTCGAGGAATTTCTTCTCAGTAAAGGAGAAGCCGCGGACGGCAGACGTGGCCAAGAGGCACTGATCGTCTGTCAGAGGAGCCAGCACTCGCTTGGGCACATCTTCCTCCGGGACGAGATTCCAGTCCTCAGCCTCCGAGTCGGAGTCGGAGTCGGACTCGTACTCAGAATCGACAGACCGCCTGCGCTTGCGGCTATTGGGCCTCTCAGGGGTGGCATCCTCGCCGACAGCAGGGAATGGCCTCTCAACGAAAAATGCCTGGTCTGCCTCGATGCGGTGGTAGGTGTGTGTGTCGACCATGACCCGGCCCTCGATGTTAAACTTGTTTTCCTGACGGTCCCCATTCTCATGGGTGCCGACGTACTCGCGAGCAACGCCTTTGTACTCGCAGAAGGTCTGGCCCGACAGCTTCTCCCACCGCCGCCCCCGAGCAATCACTCTTCGCGACACTCGCTCGGGGTCTGGGTGGAAAGAGAGAGGCATGACAGGGAGGCCAGCGATGGGCGCGGTGCCCTTGAACTTGGGGATGCGCAGAGTCTCGGAGCGCTTGCCGAAGTTGGTGCCGTCATAGTCGACGTAGTCGACGTTCAGCTCCAGAGCAGCGCACTGGTTGTCGACATATTGGAAGCTGTTCAGCTTGTAAATGCGCGGCTGGCCGATTCGGGTGGCATAGACGAGGCTTTCGGGCTCGAAGATAGTCCAGAGGTGCTCGTACGACATGAGACCTTCGGCCCGGAAGTTGTCACCCTCCTTGATGGCATCCTTGTGCTGCTCATTAATGAATTCGAGCAGGATGGGCAGGTGGGCAGCGAGGTCAGAACCTGGCTCCTGCTCGTCCAAGACCGCGCGCAGCTTGTTGCGGCAGAAGTACAGGCAGTGGGCGGGGAAATCGATGGTGATGGCCGATGTGTGAAACGACTGGCCGGGGTAGTAACCGACAACGTCCCGTAGCAGGTTTCTCAAGGCGGGAGAGTTGACCTGCAGGCTTGTTTGGGTGACGTATCGGTTCTGGGGGTCGTAGAGCCGAGTGACACAGAGGACGAACTTCTCGTGCCAGTTGATCGATTGGTCGGGCAGGTCCTCGTCCTCCTTGGGCTCGGTGACATAGAGACGTCCTTTCTTGGTGTACCGCTTCTCGAGGTACTTGAGCTCGGCCTGCATGGGGGCCTTCTCAAGCTCGGCGCGACGGGCCTTGGCCTCGTCGGAGAGGTGGCCCGTCATCTCCTTCTGCTCATCGTCGTCTGGCTCGCCGATAGGCGGGTGCATGTGGTGTCTCGGCCGCATCATCATGGGAGGGGGTGGGTGTGGGGGGCCTCTCCTGGTGTTCATGTCGACGATGTCTCTGTGGCAAGGAGTGGAAATACCGATGGAGAATGGGAATGAGTTGGAAGAGAGAGAGAAAGATTGAGACCAGATATTCCAAACCCGGAGGTCCGGTCTCCAGCTATATACCTAAGCAGGAGGAGCCTTCTTCACGTCTCACAGACACAGACGTAGGTTGAGGGTGGTGCGAGATCCGAGTGGCTGCATCCTGCATGGTCGCCTTCAGTTCTCTCGCCGCTGATTGGACATCATGTGGCTGGACCAGGCAGCCAGACCCCGCAGGGAAAGAGTCATCCTTCAGTGCTGAGGGGAAGCCGTCCTCACTGGACAGAGGATGCAGCTTCCGCCTGGAAGATGCAAGACCGGCCAATCCTCTGTCGTTACTTCCTCTTGATCTTTGCCCACTTGGGTGTTATCCTGCTGGTTGGCGCGGGAAGGAGGGTGGGCCGCGCCCCACAACTGTTGCCTTGTGGATGGCGAAGCACTGGTGGACGACAGGGGAGGTGCAGCCCGCCAGCAGCTAGTAGGCCTCCATAGCACCCCACCATGTGCCAAGCAAATTATTTGGCCTAGGTCTGGGCCCCTCCTGCCTAGAATGACAACCTTCGTGACAACCACCAAATGGGACATGTTTGACGCTCTGGAAGATGGCATCTTCGGTCAAGTCACCAACAATTGGGTCTGACCAGGAGACAGAAACAGAGCGTGTTTTCCGCATCGTAGGACGTAGCAGCAGCTCTTCGGAGCTCCCATCTATTGCTCATGCACCTCCCGACCTGCCGCCGACCACACTTTTCAGTCCTCTTGGTGCACCGTAACTGTCAGACACAGCGTCATTGCGCGATCGAGCTGATCGTTGCCATTTGCCTGCAATTGGATATATCCTCCGCCATCAGCTTCAGTCAGACCAGTCGTCGTTCTCTTGCGCCTTGGTTAGACGCGTCGTCTCTTTATCGCGTCCTGACCACGAAGTCCTGTCGCCTCTGCGCCTCCTTTGGCGGCTTTATCATGATCCCGACGGCAACGCAGTAATTACTGCTTTGACTGCATCGCAAGCAACGATGCTCTCCCCGCGCTCCCTTTCGAACATCTGCACAAGGAAATACCCAACTCGCCGATTTGGCCGGACTGGCGGACCCTGCGAGAGTACCCACGAATCAACATCGTGCCTTGCCCATGCTCGAGGGACGAGACTGACTTTTACAACCCGTTCTGCGTACCCTTTCTTGGTTGGAAGCATGTTAAGATACTGCTGGAGAGTCTAGCGGCTCTGTTTTTACCTTCAGATTGGACATGGATGACCCCGTGCGGCATCCAACCTCTGTGCTGTATAATAGCAGCGCGAATGCCGTATTTGACCCCGAGACAAAACGGATCGATTACGGAACGGGCTGCACTGGTTGTCACAAGGCTAATGTCATGGACTGCGGTGTTCCTTGGGGCAGCCATGAACGGTTCTGCCCGCGGGAGGACTTCTTGCGCCATGTTCAGAGCTGCAAGTACGCACAGAAACTGTCGCTTCAAAGTCGAGACAGCACCACCGGGCCGGGGGAAGCGGCAGCGCATGGCACCGGGTCTCTTAGAAGACAAAGACCAGCGACATACTGTGACTGGTATCCTTATTTCTAATAGGGGATTCTAGGAATACTTGATACCTCGTGGACGATGCAAAATCAACGCATGTATTCTTGATGTGCGAAGCCAAACCTGATTACGATAATGCGTCAGGGCGGAGTTCTGTGTCCCGAAAGCCGCTCTTCTAGCAATTCCTGCAGCACCGACTGGTCCGGATTGGGACTCCCGCGGGCCCGCATCAGAGTGCCAAGCCCAGCCTATCCGACGCTGTTGGGTCCTGTCAAACCATCTTTCCTTTTCTGTCATTCCTACCACCAAACATATTCCTTCACCACGATGAGCCTGCTGAGCTTCTTTCAAAACCAGCCGCGCCTGGCAAGCGGGATTGTCTCCCTCACGACCGTCGGTGCAGTTGTCGCATATTGGAGCAAGCGGGAGCTCAGCAAAACATGCCGAAGAGTTCCCCTCTCCGCGCTTCCCGCCGCAAGCGCCTGTCGAAACTTCATCAAAGGAGAAGGCGACGCGACCAGCATCATTCCAACGCCACGGGGGCTGGAAAAGTCTGCTCTGCTGTCGTCATGGTCGAGTGAAGACGGCGACAAAACGCACTGGATTCCTTCATTTGTCGCGCTCCAAGTCGACGTTCCGGTCTCTCTTTTGGCACGATACAAGCACCGTGACGCCGGCAGTGACCTGGCGGACAACCACGACGCATTCCCCCTGATGCAGCACTTAGTTGCCGCTTTTCTCGACGCTCGATCAACGGGGCCTGATTCGTGGCTCCTAGACGATAAAGACGTCCCGCCACTGGCATTTGCGCCCGGGGCTCAACTCTTTGGCGCCAAGTCTGGTCAAGGCGCCTTCATGCTCGGAGCTTGGGCTTCGGCAAAAGGGAAATATTTGCGGCCTTCCGATCTGCCTGAGGGTGCTGCTCTACCTGTCTGCGCTTTTCCGTCAAACGAAAAGGTTATGCGCGATGCCGACGCGGCAGG